AAGGCATATCTACGACGCACCGTTCTCGAGATATTCCGGTTTGAAATTTCGACCAATAATTTTGACAGCTGACAGAAGAAAGAGAAACTAGTGGCTTATGAGTAAAAAAATCGGAGAAAAGTAAGGGAACAGCGAACAGGGGAAGAATGCGGTGAGAAAAAGCGAAACCAAAAGGAAGAAAATGGAGTAAAGAGAAAGGCGCTGTGAAAAGAGAGAAGAGATATGAAAGGAGATGAAAAAGAAGAAAAGGCCAAAGGTTGTAAATCAGGAGAAGACGAAGAGGGAACTGAAGGTGAGGAGAGAAAATGAGATAAAGAGAGGAAATCAAAAAAGTGGAAGATGAAAGGTATTGTAAGATAGAAGATAATGCGGAAAAGTGAAAGAAAATAGAGGAAAGTGTGGAGGGGGAAAAGAAGGTGAGCAGCCAAAGCAGTTGTAGATGTAAAGGGGCTACAAGTAAAAGATGACAAATGGCGATTCGAAGGAAAAAAATGAAGATGAAGCGGAAGTCGGGTAAGGGGAGGAAAAGATGAGATCGATGGGTAGAGTGACAATGATAAACAGTAGCACGTTATGTCAGAAAATATGAGAAATGGCGATGTGTAAAACACAGAGGAGGTAAGAAGAGAGAAGATAAGGAAGAAGAAGGGAACGGGACAGATAAAAAATATCACGGGAAGGGGTGGAATTGGAGCAAATGGAAGTAGGTGAGAAAAAGGGAGAAAGGTAGACGTAAAAGGGCAAAGGTAAGAAGAAGGAAAAGGAAGCTAAGGGACAAAGTAGCAGATCAGGGGAGACGAAGCAACAAAATAACAGTGGCCTCACTGGAAATCGGTGAAAGGTGGGCATGAAGAACAAGAAAAAGAAAGAGGAGTATGTTCCAAAATGGAAAAGAGACGAGGAGGGGGTGGCAAAAAGGAAGAAGAACCAAGAAAAGAGTCAACATGAGTGGACAAACATTAAAGATTAGGAAAAGGTAGATAGAATGTGAAGATGAGGAAAATGAAGGGAATAGGAAAGTTTTGAGGAAAATGTGGAAAGTCAAATATAGAACTATAGACTAGAAGAACAGGAGGAGGCGATGGGTATCAAAGAAGAGGAAATGAAAAAGCAGGAGGAAGAATATGAGTAAGAGAACTTAGAAGCAAGGAACAGGGGTGGGGTAGAAGAGGATAATGTCAACGGGTGTGAAGACGGTAACAGGTGAAGAGAGAAAGCGAACAATTGAATAATCAATTAGGTTTCCACTCTGCCAATCACGTTCTTTCCAAACAGGCACTACGTGATCATGATTTTCAAAATCTGATGACGCCATAGCAATAACAAAATCCAAGTGCAGGTGATAAATAGGTATTTTTTTCCCAATCAAACTGTCCAAATGTTCATGGTGACCAAGACTGTTTCTAACGGTCCATATTTCGCACACTAATACGGTAAAGTGGCACTTAGTCTTTGAGTAGTACGTAGTTTTCCAACGCGTCTCTTGGGAAAATAAAACAATCACAGATACGTAGGTACTGTTACCTTCCATTTAGATAAGATAGCATTAAGTGTCCACTTATGGCAAACGATATTTAATACAACTCGCTTTGGGCTAACCGCACACCTTACCCATCACGCTACGTAGCACCATGGCTCAACAATGGATAAATGGTATGTTGGTGATATGCATGGTTACTGCCATTGCAAATGCTGAGTGCGAGAAGACAACGGCCAAATTTTCGTGTGGAGAACACGGCAGTCCCTTCGTGTACAAGGACGAAAACGAGGTGTGTCGCTACAGCTGTTTGATAGATGGGGTGAGGAGAAGTTGCCCAGAGACGCATCCGATGAAGAACATGGAACCGTACAAGAACTCGAAATGTGGGCACGCCATTTTTGACTGCAAGGGTGTAGGAAAACCAACGCTGATCGAAATCGAAAAGCTCAACATTTGCAATTTCGCCTGCTTGGTGGAGGACATAATGTTAACGTGTAACCAAATTCATCATATTTAGAGCCATTACCATTAATTATTTATTTGCCATCTCATTAGATTAAGTGTTATTTATTTTATCGTCGAATAAACACCAAAGTGACTTTAACTGAACGAATTCGATCGCAAATATTAAAATTCCCTTGTCACTAGAGCAACAGAGATGGAACCGAAGGAAGAAAAGGAAAGAGGAATTATAGTAAGACCACATCGAGGGATAGAACCAAAATAGTTGTCGCTTGGCCTAAAGACCCAAAGACCTAAATACCGAAAGGCCCAAAGAGCCCAAAACCCCAACAGCCCAAACCAAAAACCCAAAGACCTAAAAACCTAAAGAACTAAAGACCTAAAGAACCAAAGACCTAAAGAACCAACGACTTACAAAACCATAGACCTAAAGAACTAAAAATCTAAATAACTAAAGACCTAAAAAACTAAAGACCGAAAGAACTAAAGACCTAAAGAACTACAAAAACTAAGACCCAAAGACCCAAAGAGTCAACGTCCCAAAGACCAAAAAACACAAGACCCAAATACCTAAAGACCTAAAGTACTAAAGACCTAAAGAACTAAAGACCTAAAGAACTAAAGACCTAAAGACCTAAAGAACTAAAGACCTAAAGAACTAAAGACCTAAAGAACTAAAAAACCTAAAGACCTAAAGAACTAAGACCTAAGACCGAAAGACCCAAAGAGTCAACGTCAAAAAACCCAAGACCCAAATACCTAAAAACCTAAAGAACTAAACACCTGAAGAACTAAAGACCTAAAGGACTAACGACTTAGAGAACTAACAACCTAAAGAACTAAAGACCTAAAGAACTAAAGACCTAAAGAACTAAAGACCTAAAGAACTAAAAAACCTAAAGACCTAAAGAACTAAGACCTAAGACCGAAAGACCCAAAGAGTCAACGTCAAAAAACCCAAGACCCAAATACCTAAAAACCTAAAGAACTAAACACCTGAAGAACTAAAGACCTAAAGGACTAACGACTTAGAGAACTAACAACCTAAAGAACTAAAGACCTAAAGAACTAAAGACCTAAAGAACTAAAGACCTAAAGAACTAAAAAACCTAAAGACCTAAAGAACTAAGACCTAAGACCGAAAGATCCAAAGAGTCAACGTCCCAAAGACCCAAAAACCCAATGAGCCAAAGACCCAAAAATCTAAAAACCGAAAGACTGAAAGACCCAAAGAGCCACCGTCCCAAAGACTCAAAGACTCAAACACCCAAAGATCGAAAGACCCAATGACTGGAAAACTGAAAGACCGAATGACCGAATGACCGAAAGATCTAGAAACCTAAATCCCTAAAGGCCAAATGCGAAGAGGGGTAAGATTAAGACGCCGAAAGGAATAAAATATGGAAGACGGAAGTAAAAAAAACTGAAAAAATAATTAGGAAAGAAGAATGAAGGATCAAAGACCCAAGATCAAACGCCAATTAAGAGTAAATGGTTAAAGATATATGAAATGAGGAAAATGGAGACAGTGGTAGACGAGGAAGACAAAGAGGCAAAGGGTTACACTTATTAGAATTGTTTATTACCAGGAAAAGAGAGAAACGATGATAAACAAGAAGAGCAGAACCTAAGGACTTCAAAATAGACGAACCTGAAGTAGACAAAATAAAACGCAGGAAGGGGGAGGAAAATGACAAAGGGGTAATGAAGAACGAAAGCGAAAGGGAAAGTCGAAAAGGAGAGGCAGAAAAAATTAACAGTGCGAGAAGATGAAAAATGAGGAAAGAGAGGAAAAAAAAAGTGATGAAATTCAAAATAGACGAAGGTGAAGTAGAAAACATAAAACGCGGCAAGGGGGAGGAAAATGACAAAGGGGTAATGAAGAACGAAAGCGAAAGAAAAAGTCGAAAAGGGGAGGCAGAAAAAATTAACAGTGCGAGAAGATGAAAAATAAGGAAAGAGAGAGAGAAAGAAGTGATGAAATTCAAAATAGACGAAGGTGAAGTAGAAAACATAAAACGCAGGAAAGGGGAGGAAAATGACAAAGGGGTAATGAAGAACGGAAGCGAAAGGGAAAGTCGAAAAGGGGAGGCAGAAACAACAGTGCGAGAAGATGAAACATGAGGAAAGAGAGAAAAAAGTGACGAAGAAAGGCATGAATAAGGAAAAACGGGAACCGGAAGAAGATGAAGAGCAAGTTAGAGTTGAAAACGGAGAAAGAAACATCGAAGTTGAAGGCGAATACCTACTGGAGAACAAGAGAAAAGATATGGAAAGAGAAATGGAGAGTGTAAAAGGTAGATTTTACTGATAGACATCAAACTTGATTATTGACTTATATTAACAGGAACAAAAGAAAGATAAACAAGAAAGAGAAGAAGTTCTAAAAGAAGTAATGGTCAAAGTGAGGAAAATGACGAAAATAAAAGTTAGAAATAAAAAATATAGAGGGTAAAGAGTATCATTAGGACGAGGAAGACTTGAAAGAAATGAAGAAGAAAAAAGCGGATGTAGATGGCAAAAAGAACAGAGAAAGAAACGCAGAAAAATATTAGGAAACAAGAAGATGAAAAAAAAGGAAGTAATAAGATTGGGTTGCTCAACGTGATGGATGACAACAAGGAAAGATGGAATGAATAAAAATGGAGGACGTAAGAAGTGTCATTCGAACGAGGAAGACTATGAAGGAAATGAAGAAGAGAAAAAAGGTGGTAGATGACAAGAGAAATAAAGAACGAAGAAATTAAACAGAGCAAGGAGCAAGGAGATGAAAAGAAGGAAGAAGTCATACGTGAGGAAGATGACAACATGGGATGATGGAATGAAGAAAAGTGGGTATAGCATAAAGATGAAACGGAGGAAGCAAAGGGCGTTTAAAAGCCGAACCTTGATGAGCCTTTAAGACCCTTAAGGTGATTATATGAATCTCAAAGGGAAAATATTTTCGAGTCTTTACTGGGCTTTTAGAATTTGAGGCATAAGGCTCTTCCAGAGCTGGGCCTTAAGAGATTTTTTTGTCTTTTAAGAATGTGTAAGTATAACCATTAATATCAAAGGGCGTTTAAGACTGTTAATCGTTAAGAGCGTTTAAAAGCCGAACCTTGATGAGCCTTTAAGACCCTTAAGGAGATTATATGAATCTCAAAGGGAAAATATTTTCGAGTCTTTACTGGGCTTTTAGAATTAGTGGCTTAAGGCTCTTCCAGAGCTGGGCCTTTGAGAGATTTTTTGTCTTTTAAGAATCTGTAAGTATAACCATTGATATCAAAGGGCGTTTAAGACTGTTAATCGTTAAGAGCGTTTAAAAGCCGAACCTTGTTGAGCCTTTACGACCCTTAAGGAGATTATATGAATCTCAGAGGGAAAATATTTTCGAGTCTTTAGCGGGCTTTTAGAATTTGAGGCTTAAGGCTCTTCCAGAGATGAGCCTTTAAGAGATTTTTTGCCTTTTAAGAATCTCTAAGTATAACCATTAATATCAAAGGGCTTTTAAGACTGTTAATCGTTAAGAGCGTTTAAAATCCGAACCTTGATGAGCCTTTGAGACCCTTAAGGAGATTATATGAATCTCGAAAGGAAAATATTTTCGATTCTTTACTGGGTTTTTAGAGTTTGTGGCTTAAGGCTCTTCCAGAGTTGAGCCTTTAAGAGATTTTTTTAATCTTTTAAGAGTCTGTAAGTATAGCCATTAATATCAAAGGGCGTTTAAGACTGTTAATCGTTAAGAGCGTTTAAAAGCCGAACCTTGATGAGCCTTTAAGACCCTTAAGAAGATTATATGAATCCCGAAAGGAGAATATTTTCGAGTCTTTTCTGAACTTTTAGAATTTGTGACTTAAGGCTCTTCCAGAGCTGAGCCTTTAAGAGATTTTGTTGTCTTTTAAGAATCTGTAACTATAACCATTAATATCAAAGGGCGTTTAAGACTGTTAATCGTTAAGAACGTTTAAAAGCCGAACCTTGATGAGCCTTTAAGACCCTTAAGAAGATTATATGAATCTCGAAAGGAGAATATTTTCGAGTCTTTTCTGAACTTTTAGAATTTGTGACTTAAGGCTCTTCCAGAGCTGAGCCTTTAAGAGATTTTGTTGTCTTTTAAGAATCTGTAACTATAACCATTAATATCAAAGGGCGTTTAAGACTGTTAATCGTTAAGAACGTTTAAAAGCCGAACCTTGAT